TCAATCAAGCTCAGACATGCTCTAGAAATGGCCGGTATCGGGTTTGCCCTTTCCAAGCTGCGCAGCCAGAACAACCTGGCGGGGCACTCCATTGCCACCGGCCATGCAATCATGATCACGGCCGGGCCATGGATTGTCATCATGGTCGGCCTGGCGCTGATTTCATGGCTCGGCGTCCCGCTGGTGGGGCTGGAGATGACGACGACCTTCCGGGTCCTGGTCATCTATTGCTTTGCCCTCTCTCTTGTGGTGACGGCTCCCATCGCGCTCGAACTTAATCTGCGCGTTTCGGCCCAATTGTTCGAACGGCACTTCGAGCGGGTGCATGGTATCTATAATGGAGCTCTCGGGGTCACGGCCCTGATTACGGTGGTTCTCGCCTGGGTCCTGTTTTTCGTCGTCATCGGGCTGGACATGTCGACGGCGACAGCCGCCACATTCTGTGTTTTGCAGGTGTCACTGCTCTGGCTCACCATGTCCATGGTCGCAGCCATTCGCCAATACACCACAGTGACGACAGGCTTTACCATTGGTTTGAGCGTGTCGGTCGTGCTCGGCCTGTCGCTCGCAAGCATGGGTTACGGCGTTGCGGGTCTGCTTGCCGGGTTCGGGGCAGGACTGTTTCTGGCTTTTGCCATTCTGCACGGGCTGATTGTTCAGACCTTTCCCGGGCGGGTGCGCAGTTTAACCGACGGGATACGGGCGCTGTTCACCCACCCGATGCGCTCTCGCACCTTCGCGATCGCTGGCCTGTCGAGTGCGCTTGCCGTGTGGATCGACAAGCTGGTCGTCTGGCAATCCTATGAGGCAACGTCCATCGCGTACGGGCTTATCCACGCGCCGCGGTACGACGTGCCCATGTTCATCGCCTATCTCTCGATCGTGCCGCTGATGAGTATCGTTTCCATCTGGCTCGAGACCGATTTTTTCACCGCCTACCGCAAGTATCGCGACATCGTGCATTCGGGAGGTACGCTCCGCCATATCGATGCGCAACGCCGGGCCATCACTTGGCAGACCACAAATACAATCTTTTCCGCCTTCGTTATCCAGATCACGATCAGCCTCGTTCTGGCGCTGGCCGGCCCCTGGATCGTCGGTTTTCTCGGACTTGGGCTCGAGACGCTGCAAGTGCTGCGTTTCGCGCTGATCGGCGCGGCGTTTCACTTCCTGTTTCTCGCGTGCGTCGGGGTCATTCTCTTTGTGCAGTACGCGCGTGCCTACTTTCTGCTGCAGGCCACCTTCCTCGTGCTCAACGGCGGGCTGACCTATGTGCTGCTTGCCAATCCGGACGCCCTGGGTCTGGGCTATGTGATTGCAACCGGCGGCGCTGCGATCCTGGCCTACGGCGTCATGGTCAACACGCTCAAGGTGATGAACAGGCTTACATTTATCGACAACAACCCGGCGGTTGCAGGCTAGGCACTGCGTCGCCCAAGGAACCAAGGATAACGACAGTGAACGTCCATAATCCAAAACGCGCGGGTCCCAGGGTTTTTTTGGGAGAAACCTCCAACCGGTCCTCAAATCATTGGGTGGGAGTGGTTGAAGGCGCCGTGCTGATCGGCGGCGTGTTTGCCGTTGAACGGCTGGGGCTGTTCGATCTTCAGGTCCTGCCTCTCCATCCACTGGTTCTGGCCGTGGCGCTGATTGCCGCTCAATACGGTGCTTCGGGTGGCATCATGGCCGCCGCCATGGCCTCCGCTCTTGCCCTGTTGGGCGGCACGCTGCCCCAAAGGGTAGTGGGTGAGGACTATTTCGAATATCTCGCCGCCGTGTGGACGACGCCTCTGGCCTGGCTGATCATCGCGGTACTTGTCGGGATCATCTCAGATGGTCATCGGCGGCTGTTGCAGCGCTCCGAGCAAGCGCTTTTTGAAACGCAAAAAGAGCGTGACCTGATTTCAGCGCAGTATGAGGCTCTGGCGGCTCGTGCCAAGCGGCTCGAAAGGCGCGTTGCCGGGATTGAAAGCCACTCGTCGTCACGGACATGAAAACGATGGTGCCGTCAATATCGTAGAATCACTAGTGGGAGAACCGGAATTTATTAACAAATGTTTAACAACCATAATGACGAAAAACAAGAGGGGACAAACAGATGTTAATACAAAAGGATTTCCGCAATCCGAGTTCTGCCATCGGTTCAACAGGATATTTGGGACTTCCGAACGGCATCAAGCTCGGCGGCACCAATCGGCACAGGGAGAAGGAGTTGCTCTATGCGCAGGGGGACCTGGCTGGCGACATCTTTATCGTCGAGTTCGGTTGCATCCGCGTCTCCCGGATAACGCTGGAGGGCCTTCGACTGGTTACCGGCTTTTATTTTGCCGGAGATGTCTTCGGCTTTGAAACGGGTGCTGAGCGGCAATGCTACGCGGAAGCTCTGGAATATTCAGGGACGCGGAAATTTCATCTCGACGAGAGGGATTTGGCGAATCCGCAGATTGCCGACATGCTGTTCGGCTACCTTGAAAGCATTCAGCAGCACCTGCTGATTTTGGGAACCCAGAACGCTATCGAACGGGTGGCCGCATTTCTCGTGGGGATTGCTGATCGCCGCGGAGGCGAGGGTCCCCGAGCCCGTCTTCCGATGTCGCGATGCGATATCGCCGATCATCTGGGGCTGACGCTGGAAACGGTATCGCGTGCAATTCACCGCCTGCAGGTTCTCAAGCTCATCACCCTGGTGGGTGCACGCGATGTCATCCTGCTCGACCGGGATGCCTTGATAGATTTGGGCGCCTAGACCATTTTGTGCGGTTACGAGGCGAACGTTATGCGCCATAGTCAGGGATCGGTCCAGGCGTGTTCAGATAAAGTGATGGACGCTTTATCTGAGCACGCGCGCGCCAGAGCCGTTCAGGATTTGATTGAATC